ATTTTTAGGTATGACTACTTTCAATGATTATATTTTATTAAGTTTTCTATCACCAAGGGGTAAACGGGGGGTCCACTTGACGTGTTTTGACTCAACTGTAAATTATTATATTTTAATTGTTTTAAGACCAAATCAATTTTAACGATATGCAATTGTTTTGGTTAAATATAATAAGTGTATAGATAAATAGAATACATTCACGCGAGTTACAGGTTAATATGGACAAAAATTATTTTTGTGATTAGTTTAATTTGTTGAATAATTATTTATAATTAATAAAATTTTATTTATTACTTTTATCGGACATGAAAGTTTAAAGTCGTATCTCTCGATGAACCGTCGGACCAAGGAGTTCAAAATCCGATTTCTCGGTAAACAGTACGTTCAAGACGTTCAAAGTCGGAACTAGTCGGACCATGGAGTTCAAAGTACGATCAATTTCGGATCAGGAGGTTCAATATCCGATCGAAATTTTGACTCGGGGAGTCCAGTGACAAACGCACGGACAGAAGAAATATATATACAAAGATGAAATAAATAGACGAATTCAATCAAATAAACCAAAACAAAATAGTATTTGGTTCAAAGTAATCCAAATTGATATGAAACAAATTTATTCACATTAAATACGTATTTTTAAGTTATTTTAAATAAATCTACAAATTTAAATCAAATAATCTGTTTTTCTCAGTGAAGCACCAGACCCACCCGATGATCTAGATGATCTATAGATCATTAAGCGCGGCCAAACCTGGAGTTATAAATTAAATAAAAACATTTTCTGGAAATTATGAAATTTCCCGAATGTAACAGTCGAATAATGCGGACTGAATGAAAAACGGTTATTGATTTGTTTGGGAACTACCGCAATTCAAAATTTTCGAAAAATTGTTTTTTTCAACAATCATTCGATTTTTGAGCTCGATTATCACAGAACCGCAAATTAGAAAACTTTTGAACTTATATTTTTCTAATAGAAACACAAAAATTAATATTTGAAGAATTAATATTTAAGATTTGAATATTTTTAATTGAAAATTCTAAAAGATAAAAAACTCAACAAATTTGATAGAATATTTTTATAGTGCTTATATGTAAAAAATTTTATGTTTTTTTTTCTCTCTAATTCTAATCTCAAAATTAATGATATTTAAATCAGCAGACATCTAATCATTCTTTTAAATCAGCAGACATCTAATCATTTGATTTAGAAAAAAAATTCGTATCAAAAAATATTAAAAAAGAAAATGAATCTATAGCTTTCTAAAATTCCTAGGTGTGAACTTTTTTTCTGAATTGTTCACTATAATTTAATTATTAAAAAACTATAATTTCGATTTCAAATTCAATTTTCAATTCTTGTAAAAAAAAATTTTTTTTACCTGGCACTTCTTAATCACTAATTTTTTATCTCATCAATCGTTAATGTTATTTTTTTCTTCATCTATAACATTGCACTCTAGCCTTATGTTTTAATTTTCAACTATCATTTATCAATTACTGAATATTCCATTTAATTAAATAAACATCAGGAATATTTTTGATCAAAAATGATACGAGTAATCAACGTGCTAATTACAAGAAATTAGCGACTATGAGATTCTAAATGAATAAAAAAATTATAATATAAAGTCATCAACTACTATCGAAATTTACAATAATAATCGTAAAAAGAATCGTTAAATTATTTTATTGCTAAAAAAACAGGTTAAATCTGTTGGATCGCGACATCGCTCTCTTTTTTTCTTTCGAACTCGTATCAAACACCGAAATGTGAGTGAGAAAGTAATACTTTTCTTCAGAATGTATAGGCACGTGGAGGCATATTGTTATAACTTAATAAAAAATGATCTATATCTTTAACAATTATTTGAACATTCGATAAAACAATTTTAAATCACAACAAAACTATTTTTAAAATGTTTTATTTAATTGAAAAAAACAAATGATATTAAAATTAACTGACATCTAATAATTTTTAATCAATTTTAACAAATAAATTATTACAATTAAAATTTTATGAAAAATTCCACTTCTATACGTTTAAAAAAATCATTGATGTAATTTTTTAAAAATAGGTTTCTTCGTAATAATTTATGTATTTTAAAAAATCAAAAAATTATCAAATGTCTGCTAATTTTTGTTTCATAAACTTCGACTATGCTATTTAAAATTTTCATAAAGTTATAATAGTTATTTTTATTCATTTATTTATTTGACTGCTTATAAAGCTGTGCTTACAGCAGGTTACAATAATTCTATAAAAATGGACTAGTATAAGTATAACATAAATTTGTCTAATCAATTATTCTTAAAATCTTCCATAATAACTAAATAATAGACTGAACAAAAATTCTTAAAATTATTGGGATACTCTTTGGTGCGTTGAGTGAGACACTGAGGATAGTATTCTGAAGAACAATAATCAATATATTTTAAATTTCGGACACATCAGTCGTTTAAACAAAAAGCTCTGCTTCATTGAGCGGGCTAGAAAGAGATAGACCGCTTTTACTGTCGTGGGCCTTAGGTCGCTAAGAAGATTGAGGAGTAGAGAGTCGGCATCAGAAAGATGAGTGGGTAATATTGGAATAATAAAGTGTTCTCTGTATGGTTTATATATTGGACATCTAAGAAAAATGTGTTATGTGCCAGATTCTCGTTTTCGAGAAGGTTACATATTGTACATGGGAGTTGTGGGATTATTCCATAATATATATCCGTTTAAAACTAAAGCTAAAGTAAAGTTATAATAGTTATAGTGATAAAGATATGGTGATGAATAAAAGGGCCGTTTTATACAAAATAATTTGAAAATTATGAAATAAATTAATTTACTAGTAAATTTTGCAGTTACAAAAAAAATATTTTTTGTAATTTTTAAAAATTTTCCTTTTTTAAACCAAAATGTCAATACATATGATACTGAATTTTACAAACATCTAACAACTTTTTAGATTTTCGTAACAATTAAATTCTAATGAAAAAAATTCGACTAAGGTAAAGTACCCAGTACTTGAACACTTTTAAAAATGGGACCAGTAGTTGAACAGACTTTTAGAATTGTTGTAATACAAAATCTGTATATATATATATATTATGAATAATATGCGGTTGTTATAATTATTCAATTGAATAATTATTCAATGATACAGTAATTGATTTTGGTAAGTTTTTTCAATTATAAATCAAAACAATTACATTTTTGTTAACTTTAAAGTTGACATGTCGAGAATAACTGATAGATGCTATTTTTTTCATGAAAAAGGTACTAAACTGTAAACCAAACAATCAGTAAAAAAAACGGTATATCATCATTTTAAGTGAAAAAAATTGTACCACCCAATGAAATAGTCTTTTCTAAATAATACATATTTTTTGCAAAGACATAAACTATAATTTTTATATTAAATTTTAGCGTTCAACTATACCTCCCAATTTTCAAAGCGGTACCCAGAACTTGAACAAGCTGGGACCATATAATTTTAACAGCACTCTATAACCTTTAATAGGTTTATAGACTAGTGATCAGTATTGTGATTTGTATTAATTACTCTGCAAATTAAATAAGTTTTATAACTAAAAATTAGTATAGTTAAAAATTATTGAACGTTTTTTTGATATATAATTGAAAATTTACTTTGTCATTCATAAAAAATGTAATTAAAAAATCAAATACAAATGTTTCTCATTTTTAAATGAACATATTAAATATCCACAGTATTATTTTTAATATTATTCAATAATATGTTATAAATCTTTGAATATTTCAATAAAACGTTAAAAATTTTTGGTGTGCCTATATTGCCATATAGTTCAACTACTGCTCCCGGAGTGTTCAACTACTACTCCTTTCATAGTCTTAAAAACGTTGTCAAATTATAAATATTTAATTATTTGCGTTATTTTGCACTTCAATCAATTAAAAATTGTTTATATTTTCATGAAAATCACTAATTTGAACTAATAATTACATCTTTATATATTAAAAGTAGGGTCAAATACGTTTTACTTTGAAATTGCTGTTCAACTACTGGGTACTTTACCTTAGTAAAAACTTAAAAAAAATTATGAGTGCGAATTTTTTAAAAATATTTTTTTTTATAATAATTGATTGATTTAAAAAATTTAAAGAATTGTCAAATGTCTGTTAATTTTAGTATCATAAATAGAGATCTATATTAATCAAGAGAACTTTCCAATTTTGATAAAAAAAAAAAAATTTAATTTAGAAAAGTTTTCCAAATGAATGTTCCACTATACCTCGCTCTAGCATACAGTTTCAAATGTATACAGATTTTGAAGTCAAGGATATTGAATTACACTCAAATGTATATATGTCGATAAAATAAAACAGTCAATATGAATGATAATAATAAATCGTAAAATTTTATCTCAAACATGATCATTAAACTCACCCAGAGCTTATAAAATATACTACAATGATCATCAAATACTAGATAGATCAACAGTTGGTCAGCAGTAGCAGTAGCAGCAGCTCAGCGCAGTCTGTGTTCAGTCGCATACCAACCTTTCGACTATTAACATTATATATCTATGTTTTTATTTTTATGTTTGACTATTTTGTGTAATTAGTTTTTTTTTTATAATTATTCAAAAGTACTAATGCTTAAGTTAGTAGTTATAGTTGTAAAATAAAGAACTAGTTATAAATAATAACTTTCGCGCCATAAATTTCAACATATTAACAATCGCGGATGAAATTTATTAAAATAATTCTAAACATTAAGGTTAGGAATAAAAATCTAGCATGCTATTATATTGTTAAATAATTGTCTATTATCAATTTATTGTTTTCCTTGTATTCGTTATTTCACTGCTGATATTGCGTCACTTGTAATTATTTCTTAATGTATGTATGATAAGTTATAAATTAATTTTTCTTGATTAATTTATTGTTTATTTTTGTTTTTCAGAAACCAAGTAACTGCTCAATTTTTTTTATTAAAAAAATCAAATAATAAAAGTGATACTTGAAAATGACTGACAATGATAGTATTGGAAATTACGGTGGGTCTAGTAATGATAATGCAGGATCACCGTCAAAAAGAGTAGACAAAAAATCACAGGAACAAAATAATCTTAAATATAATGAAGGTTCAACGCTGACGTCTGGAGGTGATCAAACATATTTTGCTGATACTAAAATACAAATACCAGAACTTGATAATGTAAGAGTTATTTTATTTTATTATTTTTGCTACTTTTTTTTTTTTTATTCAAGTTTTATATCAGGCTGATTGTGCTGCTTAAACAAATTACAATAGATATATTACATTCATTTTCAAGTTGTACTTTTTAAAAGATAATTTATAAACGTCTTACAAAGACCAGATTACTCATGAATATTTTTACGCTGAGAAATAATTTTATTATAAATTTTTAATACAGTCATTACTTGATTCCAAAATTACTTATTTGGGAAGCAAACAAAATATTGCAATAAGTGAAGTGTTACTTTTATTTAATTAATTTTTTTTATTGCGTTTAAAAAGTATTTAATTTTTAATTAATAATTATTATCTATTCATCTGCATTTATCAAGATCCAATTCTTAATACAAGTATCCTATAAATTGTTTTTTAATATAACTAACATAAAAAAATTTTTTCAATCTTGAATCAATTATCTCTTACCTTTGAATATCTTTTGTCTTTTATTTTATGTAATTTAATATCTATGAATTTTTGTATTTTGATAAATAAAATATTAAGTAGTCTAGATTTATGTCAAGTTTAGTTCACTTATCAGTTTAGATTATTTAATATAAATAATGTTTGGGGACATATTCCAAGAAATGAATCATTACCACAACAAGAAATTTTCTTTCGTCAATAAACTTATTTATTTCACTTTTATTCCAATTTCAATGAAGTTTTATCAAGTTGAATAATTTAAGAAAAATGATATTTTCTCATACTGACATGTTTTGAACTTGTAAATGATATTTTTTTATTTATATCACAATTTTTAGTAGATTTCATAGAAATCTAACTATTGCATTGGTCCTCATGACGGAACTTTTGAAAAATTTTGCTATATTTCGACTCAGCTCGTCAAGCGGATTCAGAAAATACATATGGTTCAAAAGTTTATATATGTATATATATATATATATATATATATATACACGATATAACCGGCCTTCTCTAACTCCCGCAATTCTGTACGGATCTTAATAAAACTTAACATACTCATTCTTAGGACGATTTCCGAGGTTAAGTTCGAAGATGAGCGAAATCGGTCGATTAATTTAAAAATGGGAGCGATTCAAAAATTTTCAAAAATTACAAAAATTTTCACTTTTACCGTATTTCCGTGCAATAACAACTAAACGAAACATCATATTTAATTTCTGTGAATTGCATCTGAAAGCTTATTTAATAAGCTTTAATTTGCATACTTATTTATTTTTCTAAATTAAATTGTTTAGGTATGACAGCAATTCAAAAATTATTGAAAATTACAAAAATTTTCACTTTTTCCGTGTTTCAGTGCGATAACAATTGAACACGACGTCATATTAAATTTCTGTAAATTGCATTTGAAAGCTTATTAAGTAAGCTTTAATTTGCATACCTCATTATCAGTCTAGTCCAAAAATTACCTACTTTCTCAGACAGATTTAATGAAATTTTACTTTTGCATTCGTTTTGATGTCATTGCTTTTTTTTTTTTTTTAAACACTATTATTGATTTATTAATAATAGAAACTTTTTCAGAATTTCTTTAGTCTCAGAAAATTATGGGCATTCACTGGGCCAGGATTTTTGATGTCAATAGCATATTTAGATCCTGGAAATATTGAATCTGATTTACAGTCTGGAGTTAAAGCTAAATACAAGGTAAATTAATTTTCAATAAATTTACATATTAATGGCAATTTCCCACTACAAGTAACAAATCGTCCTTTTTTTCTCTAATTATCCCCAAAATATATTTTGGCTTAGTTTTCTTAGTTTATTTGTTTTCTTGATCATCAACATGCCTTTCTATCCAAATATTTAGACAACACAATTTGATGAAACAATTAACCAGTCATATCGACGGTCTAATTAGCAATTGGTCTCTCCTTATTTTTTAGAGGGTGATTTTTAAAAATTTTGATGTAGCAATAGTCTAATTATAAATAATTTGAATGGTCCAAACCAAAATATTATACCTCTATTAAATATTAAATTGTTTTTTAGAGTGATAATAAATTTTGAACCAATTGTTTTTTCGTACAAATGGAAGATTTTCTAAAATGGAGTTAGACAATTTGCTAATTAGAACGTCGATATACAAACTGTTTCAAGTATTAATAATTATCCGACACTAAATTAATTGACAATTTTTAAAATTCAACAGTTACTATGGGTATTACTAAGTGCAACAATACTCGGATTAGTAATGCAACGTTTGAGTGCACGGTTAGGTGTTGTCACTGGATTACATTTAGCCGAAATGTGCTATCGACAATACAAAAAGTTACCACGAATTTTATTATGGATTATGACTGAAATCGCTATTATTGGTAGTGATATGCAGGAAGTAATTGGTACTGCCACCGCGCTGTATCTTTTGTCCAATAAAGGGTAACTTAATTTTATAAACAAATACAGTAGCAAGCTAAATCAAATGTTGCTAATAAAATACTTATTTTCAGTCTTCCACTATGGGCTGGTGTTTTAATAACAGTGATCGATACATTTACATTTTTATTACTCGACAAATATGGACTAAGAAAATTAGAGTTATTTTTTGGACTTTTAATAAGTATTATGGCAGTCACATTTGGATATGAATATGTAAAATCAGCACCACCGCAATTAGAAGTACTCAAGGGTATGTTTACACCCATGTGTGTAGATTGTGATAGTACAGTTTTATTGCAAGCTGTTGGTATTGTCGGCGCTGTTATTATGCCGCACAATTTATATCTTCACAGTGCCTTAGTTAAAGTATGTATTATATCAATTATAATTATCATACATCGAAATTATTTATTATTAACTAATACATAATATTAATATAAATTAACAGTCAAGAGATATTGATAGACGACAACCTACAAAAGTGAAAGAAGCTAACAAATATTTTTTTATTGAATCATGCATTGCCTTATTGGTATCATTTATTATAAATGTATTTGTTGTTGCTGTTTTTGCTCATGGACTATTTGGTAAAACAAATGCCGACGTTGTAAGTGTTTAAAAAATTTGTTTTTATATTTTTATTTTATTCTTTCAATTATTGGTATAACTATTTTTATTTTTTAGTACGAAGTATGTGTTAGTACGAATAATACTTTAGGAATGGATACCTTTAAAGTAAGTAACAAACACTTTTTTTAATTTATTAATTTGTATTACAAATTAATTAACCCGTAGTGGTTATTATGGGTCTAAATGACCCCAGGCAATTTTTGAGTTGCTCTTGCTTCGAAGATATCATTCAAAATGGTATCTGTGGTACCATCTATTATTGTTTGAAGATTTTTTGAAATTCATAGAAATTTACGATTTCAATTGCACAAATCAATATACTTTTTGAAAAGCTCGATATGACACCACTTTTTTTTTAAAGTATGCGATATCCGAAGTAGAAGCCCGGAGGTCATTTTCATTTATCTTAAAAAATGAAATTTTTCGTAAAAAAAAGTCAAATTTTTCGAAATTTGACTTTCTCGCATTTCTTTTTTTTATAATTAAACAATTAAAAAACGATTGAGTTATTCAACGAAATATAAATATAACAAATATAAATAATGCTGTGAAGCGGGAAAGAATAGGAGTTACGGATAATTATTACGTGAAACGTTCCAACATTCACGTAACAGGATAATTGGTAGGAAAGGATTGAGAAAGGATTATGGAGAGGATCATCTTAATGTGAGTGTATAGAATATGTGAGAAAAAATTATTAGATAGCTCGGACTGGGATTCGAACCCAGAACCTTCCGAAGACATGTCGGCTACTCTACCATTTGAGCTATCCGGTCTATACTAAATTTCCTTTCACTTATTCTATATACATTAAGCCACACCGTCCATCTTACGGCTAGCATTTTTAACAAATATAAATAATGCTGTGAAGCGGGAAAGAATAGGAGTTACTCTCATGTACGGCTCGAATGAAAATATTGAAAAGAACGCAAGTGGCAACAATTTTTTCCGAGCATGGGGTCAACTAGACCTAGTATGACCACTACGTTATTTTTAAGAAGTGTGACCACTACGAGTTAATAATTTTTATTATTTTTAGACAAGAAACAACACTAACTTAGTAGAAGCTGACTTGTATATAGGAGGAATATTTCTCGGTTGCACATTCGGGGCTGCTGCAATGTACATTTGGGCTGTTGGTATTTTAGCTGCAGGACAATCATCAACAATGACCGGTACATATGCCGGACAATTTGCGATGGAAGGATTTTTAAACTTACAATGGTCCAGATGGAAGCGTGTGCTACTAACACGTACGATTGCCATTGTTCCGACATTTTTCGTGGCCTTCTACGCAAGCATCGAAGATCTCACGGGCATGAATGATGTTTTAAACGCCGTTATGAGTCTTCAATTGCCCTTTGCTACTCTTCCGACTATCGCTTTCACCAGCAGTGTTCATGTCATGGGTCAATTTAAAAATGGAAAGTAAGTCAACTTTTATTCGTTAATATATTTTCTTATTTATTTATTTTTTTTTATAATAAAATTTTTGTTTTAGGTTTAATAAAATTGTTGCAACAGCATTGTCGGCAGTTGTAATAGCTATTAATATTTATTTCGTTAAAGATACTGTTGAAACACATTTACCAGATAACTGGGCAGTTTATTTGGGAATAACTATTTATGCAATATTTTATCTTGGATTTTGTTTTTATTTAATCATACATATGGCTATTGCGATGGGCGCTGATTTCTTAACCAATTACAGAGTAAGTGATTTATTTAGTAAATTTTTTATAAATAAATTCATACTGATTTATCACAACTAAAATGTCCTTTATTTGAAATATTCCAGCTTATAGCTAAATACATTGGTGGACCTTCTGAAATGAATTTTGCATTAAGTAACCCTGCGGATTATTCCAGGTAAGAGTTATAAGTGAGACAATATGTAAGCTGAACAAATAAGATAGATTAAGCTATAATCCATCTTTTTAATTAATTAACTATAATTAGTATGTAGCCGACAATAAATTAATATTTTATTACATCAATAAATTTTATAATTTATACTAAAACATTTTTGCTTTTTGCTTATGTCTTGGTGATGGTCTTATCGAATTCATTTGTCCGTTTATTCGTTTCTTTTTAATTATTCATTTATTATAAAATTCAATAAATTTTGCCGTATAAATAATTTATCATTAACTTAAAATATATAGTATTTTTTTGTACTAACTTCTATTTTTTTAAAAATTATTTTATTTTTGTTTAATAAAATCTATCGTATTTTTTAAATTATTTTGTCACCTTTCGTTCCTCGGATCCTTTTATTAACATCAAATTTTTATCTGTTTTCTCTTATACTTTTTAAGTAACATTTTTGGTTTCTAATATTTTTATTATTTTAGAAAATTCTCAGTCAATAGAATTCTTGAAAAATATTTTTTATGTATAACAGTAGAATTAATTTATTGTCAAAATAAAAAAATTACTTATAGTAATTAAACCACACTAAGTTAAAAATGAGAAATTTTTCAAGAATTCATTCACACAAAATTTTTTAATGTTCAAAACCTAATTGAATTAATTTTGATAAAAAATGAGATAAAGCACGTTATAGTTATAAGTTATAACAATAATTAATTAATTAAAGGGAAACTCGCAACTTATATTTTAAAATTCATTGTTACCATTAATCATAATTATTATTATACAAAAAGTAACACTTTTCTTATAATTAGTAGCTCTGAAACATCAGTAGTGTCTCAAGAGTCTACAGAACGATTACTTCCACGTGAGACGTAATGTTTAAGAAAATAAGTATAATAAAGAAATAAAAAAAAAAAAAAGGGAAAAGTTTCATACATAAAAATAATTAACATTTAATTAATAGTTTAAATGAACTATCATTCATTCTTCGTATGATGTCAGCATGCTACTCATGGTACGTAGATATAAATTTCTTATAAAATTCACAAGTTTTCCATTTTATTTTTTTTATTTTTTTAAAAATTTGCTTAATTTTGCTTTAAAATGCTTTTTTTGTTTTATTTATATTTTTTGTGTATTCACATAATGAACTAATTAAATGTTTCTAACATGCTTTTTTAATACTAATTATAGTATGTCACTTCGAGGAATTCCCATCACTAAACATTATCAATAACAAATAACGATCCATTTAGAACAAAGTAAAAGGTAATGAATCACTTCACAATAATTAAGTAACTAATTTAATTAAATCATAAAATTCTTTTCTATTTTTCTAAGAACTTTTAAGTATGCGCTTAATTAAATTTTTAAAATTAAAAATTTGAATAAGTATTGAAAAAAAAAAAATTACAAATTTCTAATTTTAAGTTTTCAATAAAATTATTATTTGTACCTATTATTAAAAACAAATTATTAAGTATTTATAAGATTCTAAACACACAAAAATATTATAAAATTCAAACTATCTTACACAAACATTAATTTAAATTTTTAGAACAAATTATGGATTCGCAATTCAAGAAAGTATTAACGGAAGTTTTTCATCACTTGACGTAATGTAAAATTTAGATCAAATAATTATTATTTTATTGTAAAAATAATCAAAACCATTTCATTGCAATTAAAGTTTTTTTATTGTTAAATTACATAATATAATAAAGCATAGTTATGTATGTAAAAAATGATGCAATTATCAATATTTTTTACAATGTAAAAATAAATGAGGTAGTTACACGGAGATTATCTTTCTTGTACAATGGCATATATTTCAATTAATAATTTAGAATGAAAGAGGAATAAATACATGATTATTGTTATTACAATTAAAAATAAATAAATAAATAAATGAAAACATATTTTTTTACAATTATAATTTTTAGTTTACTTTTATTTATTTCCAATATTTTATGATAATTATAATTGAAATAGCTTAGGATCAGTGCTAGGCATAAAACAATAGTATGATTGTTTAATTTAAATGCAAAAATCAATTAAAATTTTTATGACACTTGTATTTGTGTATTTTTAATTATTTCATGATTATCAAATTTTTGAATGTAATTATAATGTAATCTTGAGATTCATTATAATATAGAATTTAAGTAAATTTTTTTAAGTTTCTACCAATAAATATAAAATTTGTATAAAAAAAGTATCACTGATGTAAATAATTGTAGTTAATACTAAAATTGTATCAATAATAATTTTTCAAATAAAAGAATCCACTCTTATAATTTAGATGAAAAATATGAAAATATATCATGTAAGAGCAAACTATTCGCAACGTGATTGGTCAAATATATCATAAGCATGAAAATATAGATAATTCCATACCAACAATTACACGCGCGCTTGCGCGCGCAACGTATACTAGTATACATGTAAAAAATAAAAAAGCTATGATTAATAATTATCGAATCAACTGTTATAAATTTTTAACACCAATCACTGATGTAAATAATTGTAGTTAATACTAAAATTGTATCAATAATAATTTTCAAATAAAAGAATATACATGTAAAAAATAAAAAAGCTATGATTAATAATTATCGAATCAACTGTTATAAATTTTTAACACCAATGATAATAAAAATTTTTAAAACTAATAATTTATAACTCTAATATTGTAATATTATCAAATACCTCTCAATATTACGTAATTTGAAAAGTCTAAATCCTTAAATTAAATTAATATATTACAAAAAAATGAATTCGATTCTATAACAGATACTTGAGTCCTTATTAAACCACTGAAATTCTGTTATCTGGACAAGTTCTCTGTAATATTATGCAAAAAAAAATATTTATTATAATAATAATTATGAGTTATAAAATTAAAATTGAGCATTTGAGTTCTGCAATTTTTTTTCATTACTTAAAATAAAAAAAAATTTTAGAGTGGTTCTGTTGAAAGACGTAAGTAATACTGGAAGTAATTACGTTTATAATGCCAATAAAAAAATAATATTAGCACGATCATCATGATAATCATTATTATTGTCGATATTAATACTCCTAAAAAAAAAATAAAATTTTTTATCATTTTATAAAGTGATTAGAAATAATAAGTATGTTTAGTCATTTTAGTTTACTTACCAAGGATCATCGAAAAATTTATGCTATTGCTATTATCATCATCATTATTGTAGCAATTGTTTTGATTATCAATCGAAATATTTTGATTATCTGTTGAGTCGCTCAGACATTCTCTCTCAAAATCATTTGGTATCACATCTTCAGTCAATCTAATAAAGTCTTCAAGTGGGCACAGTGGTTTGCAGCCCGGTACCGTCAATAAACTCGGTTCTCCACTGGTATTTTTGTACGAAACTGTTACGAAAAATTCATTAGCTAAATTAGTTCTCAACTCAATAAGAATGGTTGCTGTATAAGGAGGACAATGTGGGTAAAATAAGTCTAACGCCATCAATAAATTAGCAACCGTTTCATCATGACCACTGTAAATCCACAATTTACGATTAGGGGATAATTTATTTTCGGATTTCGCTACCATGTGATCGATCATTTCCCCTAAGAGTGAACCTATTTTAAGTCGCTGCAATATTTTATTATAAGCTTGTACTTTAAAACTGAACTCGGCTATCGGGCGCAATTTATCTGGATACACTGCTTTTGTCCAGTCAGGCAATGTTTTGTTGTATAATTCCTGTAAAAATTAATACTTAATTAACCGTTCATTTTTAAAAATTGCATTGATAATTAAATTACAAATAATACCTCAATACACAATGTATTGTAAAAGTATTCGACTTCAGTTACAGAATTGATTTTTTTACCCGCATGACGACTTAAATAGTCGTACAGTTTTGAATTTTGACGATTTATTTTGACAAATAGCTCGGAAGACAAAAGTTTTTGGGTTTCATCATCATAGCGACGACATTTTTTTTTACCAGCTAGCACGTAATCCATTGTTTCGGGTATTGTATGCACTGGTATCGGCATCCATCTCATATTGTCCCACCTTTGATTGCCTTTAGGTGGATACAAACCAGCTAAGTTTGATTCTGCTGACATCAACGTCCGATCAACATCCGTACTTCGTACATAAATATCATCCAACGAATAGTGATCTGGTATCAACTTGTCGTATCGTGATCGTAGCCATTGACCTAATAATAAATGTTGATGCATTCCCGTCTGAAAATATATACATATATTTATAAATGTACATTGAACTCTATCATTATTTGATCTATGATTAATTTGTTTTTAAGAAGTTCATGTTTTCTTATCGGTTAGATACTAATTTTTAATCATTTTTTTCTCTATTTTATTATCTTGACGTCTTGAATAAATTATATCAGTACTTTTTTAAAATATGATACAAAACAAAAATAAATTGTTGTTTTAATTTGATACGATTAGCTTATTTTAATTGAGACATTAAGGGCCAGTTTTTCAATCCGAGATAAAATTTTATCCGAGATAAAAGTACTGCCATTATGATAAATAAAAAAATAAATAATTCAGCACAGTGATATTTCCTACGAGTAATTCTCCTTGAATTCAGTCACTTATTTTGAATTAAAATAAATAAACATTGGCCACACGTCACAGAAATATTCACCTCCAACTGTGACAACTTCCTGATTATAAATAAATAAAATAAAAATTAGGAAAACGGATGACCCTGAAGGAGATCCCTGTAACTTCCCGCTAATTCCATACCTAAGCGCTTGAAATTGCACTTATAATGTTGTTGAGCTCTTCAAGCTCCAAATTAAAATTTATGTGTTATTTTGAGCTTTATGAGCTCAAAGAGGTAACTGTTCTATGCTTTTGAGCCTTTCGAGCTCATATCTTGCGTTTGACATATCTATTATTAATTTATAATTGTGTTAATTGATTTAAAATAATTTAAATGACACAATAAGAGGTTATTATTATTTTTATGATATATTTATTTAAATAAACGAGCAAATTCATAGAGAATTAATTGAGAGCAATATCACGTCGCTGAATTATTTATTTATTTTTTTTTATTTTATTGGCGGCACTTTTATCTCGGATAAAATTTTATCCCGGATTGAAAAACTGGCCCTAACAGTTTTTTATTTTCAAAACATTTGAAAAAGTAAACTTAAATTTTTATCACTAAATAAACATACGATAAGAGTCATAAAATGTAATTTGAAGAAATTCAAATGCGCTCCTGTGTAGTATAATAAATAATCATAACCATATGTACTAATTTAATAATAACAATAATAGTATAATATGATTTTGAAAATTATGTAACAAGATTAATGTGTATTAAATGTTTGATATTATTTTTAATTTTATAATAATAATAATAATAAATAACAATAATTGTGAAAAGTGTAAAATATCAATAGCTCATAAAAAATTTTACCATAAAAAAAATTATTTTTTTAAAGACATAAAAATATTTGGCAATTATTTACAAGTTGGGTCAATTTAAAAAAAAAAGTTGAATATCACAATTTTCTAAAAAAAACTATAAATTTTTTTGAAAATTTGTTAAAATTGTAATCAACTTTTTCTTTTTTAAATTGTTCATTTTTTTTATGTATTTTTCAAAAAAAATATATCAATAAAATCAAATTGAAATTTCGTTAAAAAAAATGAAAATTCAAATGGTAGACCCACTTGTAAATAATTACCAAATATTTTTTCAATATTTGTGTAACATAATAATTAAATAATTTATAAAATATTTTTAAACATATTACTAGTATTACTACTAGTTTTACTACTATTTATGATAAATAGCTAATAGTTACAATATTGTATAAATTTATAAATCTATTTTTTAATTATTTAATTTACATTTGACCCAAGTTTTTCTATTTCTCATAGTTCAAGTTCATTATACTTTGAATGAAGATACGTAGAGAAAAAAATAAAAGATAAGTGTTCAATATCATCCATATTTTTTACTTGATAACAATTGCATCAATAATATAGAGTCTATTGTTTATTGTTTATCAGCTTCATAAATTTTAACTCAATGAGGAAAATTCATAAATTACTATTACGTATTTTCTTTCTCTTTTTCCTCACTGATAATATATTCTAATTAGCGATTATGTAAAAAATGCTACCTGAGCTGATAATACTATCTTTTAAAAACAATAATTTCCTATTACTCTTTACAAAAAAATTATGATGATAAGGAATTAATTAAAATTAAATATATTGTCCTTGAAATTAAGACAACAAATAATTTATAATAAACAGTTTTAGCATATAAATAAATATATACATTGAAAATAAAATTTATAACACAGTAATTAGCCGGTATCAGAATTTCTGATCATTTTTTGGTATTTTTAACATTTAGATAAATACTAAAAGAATTATCGTAAAAAATTTCACTTATAGTTTTTAAAAATTCAATTTTTTTTATAAATTTTTTTACCACAATTAATTGGTTTGAAAAATTGGTCAATTTTTTAGATGTTTGTTAATATCAGTATTACAATAATAAAAGCTTACAGTTGTTAATTGACCATACGGTACAGGCCATTCCGATTCATTGCGATGAGGGTCATTCGGATAAGGTTCCACAGGTGTTCTGTCTCCATGTCTGAACAGCTGTAAAAATATTTTCATCAATACTTAGTGACAAAAAAAAAAAGCATAATAATAATACAAAGTTATTAAAATAAAACTCATATGTAATTTGTTAAAAATTAAAAATAATGTTATCCTTTCTATTTAATGAAAAAATAGATCCCAATTTTTAAAAGTAAAAGTTGTTTTTTTACATCTAGGTTAGTAGTTCTTTTCAAAGGCCAATCGATAGTGAAGTTAAAAGAAAATAAACTAATACAAATAGATAAAAATATTCACAGTAATGAAAAAAAAAAAGTTATTTATTTAATTATTGATATAAAGTACTTACAATGTTGGCAAATACAACAGTTCCTAAATCATTGGATGAATTTTCCTCAGTTGAAAACGCCGAAACAATTGAGTAAAATGTTAAAAAAATATTTATTATAAATTTCTTCATTATATAAATTTATTTATCTAATAACAATTCTAAATTCTTTATTTAGATTTTTCATAAAAATTTAATTTATAAATTCATTGTGTTATTCATCATAAACTTTTTCACTTTTATTTATAGTATAAATATCGATTTGGCTTTAATTGAATGTAAATATTAAAAAAAAACTTTATATATTTAGTTGTATTTTCTTTGGTAAATTGTAAAACACTTAATGCTAATAATTACTTAGATGAGTCAACTGTAATGTTGACGTTTTTTAATAATGCATTCTGTAAACTTTTGTTGAAATGGAGCACGCGCTACTTATTTCAAGATGCCATATTTTTATTGGCCGACAACTTTACTAACGACATGTACTATACATAATATGTATACACTTACGCACACTTCCTTATGTGGATATACGTATGCATACATACACGTAAGTCAGCCAGACGCAGACGTTGACGTTTATCATCGGCTACAGAAAATAAATAAACTCTGTTGCTTATTTTTTCCATTTTTTTAAGTATAAAATTTAATAAGAAAATACCACTTGGAAACTTTTTATTTTATGTTATCAATTATTTATTTATTAAATTTATTAATTAATTTTTTTTTTTAAATCATTTTGACTCATATTTTTTAAAAATTATTTGCATATAAGATATTTTGTTTTTACTATCAAATAAGTAAGTTGTTAATAATTATTTAATAGATTCATGTATTCACAATTACGGAAAAAAAATTAAATAAGTAGTTGTCGTTCTAAAAAATCGAAGTAGTACAGGAGGTACGTAAATTTCATACTCCCAAAATTTCACGTTTTTTTACCGAAAAAAAAATTTATAGATTTCAATGTGTAGTAGGGTAAATGCATCAATTATTGACCGATTAAGGTTTTCTTTTTCTGTACTAAGCTATAAAAAATCTATTAACCTACTAAAAACAATTTGTAATGGATTTTATTAAAGTTAAATACTTAATTAATAATAATTAATAACTATTTATAATAAAAAACAAAATTATATTAATTTTGTTATTTGAATGTTGAAATACTAAAATCACCAATTATTGACCGAAGAAACCCAATAAATGACCGACCGTTCTCCAATTAATTGACCGCTCAAATAATTATAAGTAATTTTGTAAACTACATGTATGTAATTAAATTTATGCAGTACTTTTCAAGTATTAACGACATCTTTAACAAAACTAAACATACAATATAATTTTAAACCGTACTTTTTTATAAAATAATATAAATAATAGCAATAATTAACATAAAGTCACATTTCTTTAGGTCACAAATAATCACAAATTCATTTTGATGATGATAATTCTTCTGATTCACTTGAAATTTTTTTATTCTTCTCCTTCTTTTTTTCAATTAAAGCTTTTTTACTATAGCTTGTAACTCTTTTTTATTTTTTTAATTGCTTAGCAATTTTTTCTTCTAATGATTCGTTCTTTGATATAACCGTTCACTAAAAAAATTACAACAAAATAAAATTTAATAATCAAAAAAGATTTTAAGTATTATTTTAATTATAAATATACTCTTTAAAATGATTATTTTTTTATTTACAAAATATTGAATGACTAAAGTACTTTAAACACTTGACAGATTTAATTTTGGAGTTAAGAAGTTAGTATTATAATTATACGGTGATTAATTGGATTGTGATAAAATCAGAGGGTCTAATAAATGACCGAATGAATTTTTTACTGGGTAAAGGGCTTCTGACGGATCCAATAGTTGACCGGTCTTAAAATAATATTAAAACTTATAATTTAACTTTATTTTTTCAAAAAAGTTGGAATCTGATCTTTAATTAACATAATAAAACTAAAATATTTTATATTCTGCCGATAAATATGACTAAATTAATGATGAAATGCACTCACTCTCCAATTTTACGCTAGTTATTTTTGACCGCTTTATGGCTGGTTGCGTTGTAAACAAACTCAGAATATTTTTTTAAAGCTATAATCACTGCGCAATTAATTGCGTAATTTTTTATTATGATGATTAAATGCCATATTGTTTTATTTTAATACTTTAAGAAAAAAAAACCCTTGTAAAATATTAATTAATTAACTTTTTTATACATCGGTCAACTAATTGGTGACCGGTCAACAACTGGTGCATTTACCCTAGTCTATTTCTTTAGTTTTATAATTTAATCAAATTATCACTATACTCTTTACAATATTCGAATGAAGTTAATTAAATCTCACAATAAATAATCAATCCCGTAGAATATAGTTATCAGTAAACGATACAATAGATAAAGTTCGTGTATAAATAATAATGTCAAGATGGTACTCCGCGATTACAATAATGCGATACGTAAAATAAAGGAAAATAGGATAAGTGTCCTAAACCGTATAGTAGATGTGTGTATCTCAGAGGCTGAGGAAAATCTGCCTCGTGCCCGTTGACTCTTGAGGGTGTTAGCCTTTTCTAACACTTAGCGTTGTTCTTGGGGTCCCGTGACGTCATGAGCCCCTTGAATGCCGGGGAACGGATTTTATGGCCCAGAGAGTACAGTGGTTGACGAAAAATTTTCGAGAGTGGAAAAATACTCCCACAAATGAAATCTTAATAAAATATTGTATTAATAATATATATATCATTAATGAAGTCTACTAGAATAAAGAACAAACGTTCACCCGTTGTTTATGTATATAAAGAAAACCACATTTAAAAAATTTGTTTTTTTGAGATTTCTCAAAATCTACCGGTCTAAATCGACCCAAATTGTATTCAAAATCTAAGTTTGGCCAAGCCCTTTTGAATAGCATCAACCGCGATGAAATCAGTCAAGCCGTTCAAATGTCATGAGAGGTTTACATACAAACACACACACACACACATACATACAGACACTATCGCGGAAATAGTCAGGGAAGCTTCCTGTGACCTTCAAACGTCGAGATCTGATGAAAACTCGATTTTCGAAAAACGAGGTAGCAACAATAACTTTCCGATTTTTTTTAATTTTCAATTTTCTTAGCGGGAAGTTAAAAAAGACCGTTCAGCAGCCGAAGTGGAACTAGATTTCACAATAAATAAAAAAAAAACTTCTAGGATCGTATCCAAAAAAAAATTATAAATATATTAATACATATATCGCGTTACTGATGCCATACGGGCGTATCTCGAAAAAAATACCCTTGAAAAGTCATAAGGGCGTATAAAAAATTTTTTTCCGGGAATCGACGTAGTTATGCCTAAAACGGGCAGAAATGCAGAAAAAAATTTTGGTACGCCCTTATGGCACCCAGGGTACCTACCGAGAACCATAAGGGCGTACCAAAAAATTTTTTTTTCGGGAAACAACGTATTCTTAATTGAAACGCATAGAAATAACGAAAAAAAATTTCAAATTTGAGAAAAATAATTTAAAAACCTAAATTATTGAAATTGTTAAAATTTGATATAATAATGTACTTATTACTTTGTACTCAAATAATTTAAATTTATTATATTTAATATGTTGTAATTATGTTTAAATATATATATTCCTTCTGGTTCTATGTACAGTTGTGTACCACCTCTATAGAATCACTACCAGAAGTAAAATGATAAATAAAAAAAAAATAAATATGTAAAAAACAAAAATAAATTCCTGTTACAATAAAACAATGACATCAGAACGAATGGAAAAGTAAAATTTCATTAAAACTGTTTGAGAGAGTAGGTAAATTTGACCTAAACCGATGGTTAGATATGCAAGTTTAAACTCATTTATTAAGTTTTTAGATGCAACCTATAAAAATTTTACAAGCTATCGCATTCAATAGTTACTTTATTTACCCACAGCGTACACTTGTATGTTAGTATGAGGCACCCCACGCTTTTTTACGTTAAAATAATTTTTTTTATTTATCACTCTATCCTTAATTTGAATTATAAAAAAAAATTATTTTCAACTTTTTAGTTGGGTTTAATTATAAAAGCGTGATTTTTGAGTTTTTTAAACTATTATTTGTTATTTTTCGGGTTATATGAATTTTTTTGACGACTATATTTCCACGTCTGACAATCTAAAGGTGAATTTGAGACAATTTTGAAAGTATTTCTGTTCACAACTCAAATTTTTTTTATAGTTGTCTGAAAATCATGTTCATTTTATGAAAATTTTTCAATTTTATTGGTGCATAAATGGCCAGAAAAAAAAGACTCGTTAAAAAGAATTAAAATAATTTATACAATCGTCATATAAGAGTTATAGAATAAAATTATTATAAAAATGCGATTGAATTTTTTAAAATTGATAGTATGAAAAAATTTAATTTATTTAATGGATGTCTTAAAATTATCTTTAAAATGTTTTATATTGTGTCATATTTAAGATCTTAAGCTTAAAAAATTAAAAAAAAATTTTTTTCTCACACAAGACGCTAGATTATGATCAAATATATTCAAATAACTATCTTCAAGCTTGAACCTTTTCGTATGTTGATCAATACTGACAATTTTTACACCACTCGCAATTTTATGTGGCTACAATTTTCTTTAGTTTCCGCTTCTTTACACTGCAAATTATAGCTTCACACTCTGGAACAGTTGCTGATATATTATTCACGGAAAAAACTTGCATATTAAATATAGCAACATTGATACAAAAACAAAGTAGAAGGATGTAATTTTCTTCTATACTTTTAATTGAAGATCATATCACATTATTTCTGTAATGTTCTGAGAAATAACAAAATATTATTGCGTGTGAAGAAAAAAAATATGAATAAATCCCCAATAATAACACACCGAGCAACCCTCGACTATACATTGTATCTTGCGAAGTACATTGAAAGAAATTAACTTACAAAAATAACCTACTGATTCTAAGAATTATTTTATATTTCAGACTTTTTGGTTTGTTTGAAATCGACGTAGAGCCGCTTAGTAAGTACGTGGTGGTTACTTTGTTCAGAATATTCAATTGGGCTGTAGTCGTACTTATTGTTGTGCCGAATATTGCCGATTTCTGCATAAATATTAAAGACTTTCAAGAAGTGTCTTATAATTTGAATTACATGTTTCCATTTTTGCTGGTGGAATTGAAGTCAGTAGTGATTTATCTTCAACGAAATAAATTTCGATGGCTTATTAATAATATTCATAAGCCCATTTTATTGTTAAAGTATTCTTCAGGTTAATATCATTTTTTTAAGGAGATTTTATGAATTTTATCTTATTGTTTTCTTTGCTTAGAAATGTAGAACCATATCGCGTTTTAAATGCCATAAGGGCGTATAAAAAAAATTTTTTTTGCGTTTTTGCTTACTTCGGACAAAAATACGTCGATTTCCGAAAAGAATTTTCCTTTATACGCCCTTATGGGATCTGAAACGCGACATATGCTTGATATCCGATCATATATAATTGATACCTAACTAACAATTGTTTCTAGATTTAGGAGTCCTTACAATCATCAGAACAGCAATAGTGTTTCAAAACTTCGACTACACAATATTTGTCCTTGCATTAATCTCTGTTATATGCATAGCCGTCCTTCCAATGAAATTATTCCTACGCACCCGTGAATTCCCAATCCGGGGATTATTCCCATTCGACGTAACCCAGAGCCCAATTTTCGAAATAATCTTGGGCAGTCAATGCTATGGATTATTTATCGCTTGCGTGTGGACCCTCGTCTTCGACACATCGCTTCTAGGATTGATCAGATGGATCAACGTGCAATTGATCATCCTCCAAGCGAATTATCGTCATTGCGATGACATCACCACATCCCGCGCCAGTATTTCAGTATCTCAGAAAAACTACAACATCATCCAGGCCTACCAATTCTTAAAAGTACCCGATGAGCAAGAGGAAATCCGGTCTTTTGTGCCGTTTACTCTCGAAGAAGCTAACGTTGCAGTCGATTCATTTCTTCTGAGATTCCGAGCTTGTGTCATTCACCATCGACGGCTTATCGACAATCTCAACGACTGCAATAGCTCTTTTGGCTTTGTGTTGTTTGGACAGGTAGTTACAAGTGTTATTCTCATCTGCTTTGGGCTTTTCGTCCTTATTGTGGTAAGTACCTTTTTAAGTTTCTTTACGGATAACTTCGATATTTTCTATCGAATATAGTCTTCTTTAGTCGCTGCACGAAAATAAAGTCAACTTCACAGACGTTGTTATGTTGGGATGTGGATTGACCCAATTATTTTACTGGTGCATCTACGGCAATCAACTGATGATTGAAGTAATTATTTCTAATTGTGATTGTCAATTGTACCAAACAAAAATCTATTTTATAATTCTTCAGAACGACAAATTGTGGATCAGTATTTACGAATGTGGCTGGGAAAACCATTTATCTAGAAAATCTAAGCAACTTATTTCAAACGGCTTAACACAAGGATTGACTCCTATGAAAATGACCGCTGGAGCGTTATTTGTCTTTTCTATGCAAACATTCTTATCGGTAAGAGCTATTTTATTACTTTTCATTAACTTTTTTATCAATCAATAACTTTCTATTCTTTAAAATTATTAATCTAAGTGTGAGAAGTCATAAAAGTCTTTCAATATTGTTATTTATACTTGAACTATTAATATCGAAATATTCTTTTTTTTTAAGGTTATAAAAACTTCGTACTCCTATTGCGCAATTTTCATCAACACCATGACTGATGACTAGATGCCGGAATTTCGTCACCGTTAAAATGACTCTTTATATGTTTAACCTTAAATTTGAACAAATGAAAATAAGCTAACTCATGACGTATAAGTTTACAATATAAATTCTTCACCTTTTAGCTAGATGGCGTAAGTAGTCATTTCTGTACAGCTGATCCTTCTAACCTTGTTATTTCTTCATTGATTAATAATAGTTCTTAATAAATGTAAAAAATTTTATTGGGTTAATAATAAAATTAGATTGATGATAAATCCAGAAATTCATTAATTGGCCAGGTGCACGATGGTGCTGCCCTCATTTTTCATGCTTTTCTATGTTAAATCAAACGGAGTAATTTAGTTCCAGTGATCGCTAATATTAGCGTTAAATCATGCTCTTCCCATAAGATTTACACGTAAAAGTGGTAGTCAGCGCCAGCCCTCCCCACCATATACTTCGCACCCGGCCAATAATAATTATTATTGTCAATTAGTAATATATAAATAAGCGTAAAAATTATTTATTAAAATTAACCTATTAATTAGTCGATTACATGATGGGTTAGTGGATAGATAGATTTATTTATCATTGTACAAGCGTACAGTAAGAACTGCTTTTTACTATTTTTCATCACAGTATTTTATATTGATCTGCATCTTAATAAATACTTAAATCTTTGGTTCTAGCACCACTTTTACTTAAATATTTCATATTGTCGTTAACATTACTTTTTACTAGATTTTAATTCAAAATTTTTTAGATTTTTAGATTGTTTTAAATTAAATTACATCACATTACTTTAAAGATTCTACTCGATTACTTTTTATAGCACTTTAACAAAAATTAAAAGGATATAAGTAAACTAGGGTCTGTGAGGCAATTACGAATAACAAATTTACTGCACTAGACGTCTTCTTCTTTGGTTGCCAAGAACTTTGTTTGGGACTTGGCGAACTGTTGCATCATGATCTTTATGCAAGGGATCACTCCCTCCTTTTGTGAGTTTCAGGAATTTGCCTACGAGTTGGCAAATTTCTTTTACTGGTTCACCTCTGAGTGTCTGCAGTAACAATCAGTTGAAATCGGCTCCTGTTTTTCTACCAATCCAATCCAGGACAAAGTTTCTCACCTCTGCCTTGACACTGTTCAATAATGTTCTGCATCTGGAGATGTGCTCTAAGGTCTCATCTTCACCTTGACATAAACGACATTGCCAATCCCTGTAGCCCTTTTTTCCTGCCTTTCCTATGTTGCCGCATCTGATTCTGCACCAAGCTAGTTTTATCCAGCTTGAGGTTTTTCTGTCCAACCAGTACGGTTCAGTTCCCATACTGATCTTGAGGAATTTAAATCTGGAGTTGTAAGACGATTCCATGATTTTATTATTCTCTTCCTCTCTCAGTGTAGCTTTCAGGTGACGAAGGCCCTCCTGCAATCTCTGTTCTATGATACTCACTTCCACCTTTTCCCATATCATCTTTAATATTATGTCCTTACAGCGCATTTCATTCTGGGCTTTGGTTAACCTGTCACCCCATTTTGAGGACTTGCCATTCAAAATTCCTCTGCATTCGTCTTTCATTCCTTCATTCTCAGTACATCTACAAGATACCTGCTTGATCTCTCTCTCTCTCTCTCTCTACAGATGTATTTTAAATTTTCAAGCCCACCTTTACACCTCCAGATGTACTCAGAAGTGTTTTTTGCTGCTAGTCCCAAAAAATTCTTCAGTAACCTTGTTTATGTCAAATTTCAATATTAAATTAAAGTAGTTAACAGACATATATTCAATTATAACTAATTATTATATCATATGAGTGTTTAAAATAACACCTTTGGATGATTCAAGTTTTCAAAACTATTATGATGTAATATAATGGAAAATTGAATAATCTCTATAATTAAATTTTTTTTCTCATTTTAATTAAACATTCATTTTAAAAAAAATGTTATGTAAGGTAAAAGATCCAGTTGATACTGGCCTACACAGAAAGAAAATTGAAGGAATTTTTACTATTTTACTATCGTAATTTTTATTAAATAAAATAGTAACGGTGGACTATACTTGTCATTTAATAATTTTTACGATCTACTATTCTAAATTTTATTCAACAAATAAAACTATCCAGAGACTGGAAAAGTCCACTACTATAGAGCAAATTATACAAGATGTGTTAGTGAACTTTATAATTTAACTGTCGTAAAAATTGGCACTATGTTTTTTTGAAAGATATTTGAGGGAGGGAAAAGATAGGAGGTAGGACTCATTGGTAACTTTTGCAGTAACCGAAAAAATAAAATTGAGATGAAATGTATGTGATATCAATTTATTCGTGAGGTAATTGGTCAAATATATCATAAGCATGAAAATATATGCCATCTATATATTTAAACGCACGCTTTTTAGCTTACGAGCTATGAATAAAGTTACATCGAATTTCGCAATTTTACACTGTTAAAAATTTCTTTGGTAATTTTACAAGAAATGTGTTGGAAGTATATGCTCAAAGCAGTTTTGTAATTTAAAAAATCAAGCTTTGTAATTTTACAAATCTTTTTTTATTGTTTCTGTTTTGGAAAATTCAAAAACGTAAATACTAATTTCAGTAACAAATATTGTAATTTTACAAAACATTTTTCGTTGTTACTGTTTTAGAAAATTCACAAACTTAAGTACTAATTTCAATGACGAACATTGTAATTTTACAAATAAGCTTAATTAACAATAGTTTGTAAAATTAAAATATTTAATTTGCAAAATACAAAACTTATCAAAAGCAATATGTCTTGTAAAATTACAATACACATTATATTTACACAATACATACCACTTTTTAAAAGTTTTGCAGAATACATATTAGAAATTTGAATTTTACAAACAACTATCAGTCGAGTTTATTAGTAATATTACAATGTTTGTTATGTAAAATTTATAAACTCCTTTTTATTATGTATGTAGTAACATTTATACCTATTTTTTGTAATTTTTCAAAACCAGCAAAATAAATATATTTTGTGAAGTTACTAAACTAGTTAATAAAATAACAAAATTACTTACTAAATCCTTTTTTTATGCATCTTTAGAAATTACGACTATTTTTTTGGAAATTTCAGAAAAATCAGAAAATATTCAATCTAGTTATTTAAATTTAATATATCAGCTTAAGAAAACGGTCTGTGCCTATTAACCAAAAACCGCCTTCAGCAATCCAAATCGCATTTTTTCGATCCAATCTTATGGGAAGAATAATTTTTTTTCCAAGTTCAATATTACACTTGGAAAAAAGATGAAAAAATAGTACTTTAGTTTCTAAAAGCGCAAAACGATTGCCGATACACATTCTTGGTCCTACTCCAAACGATAGATAAGCAGATATATTCAGGCGATTTTCACGTTATTTCTAATAAATCGTTCAGGTATAAACTTATCTGGGTCTGGGAAATATTGCGGATCACGATGAATGCCCCAAATCGGTATCAAAAAATGGTCACCATCAATCTTAGCAGGAAACGGTTTTGAGTTAATTAAAGCAGGGGGTAATTCACAATTTTTGGTGCACACTCTATCTGTAAAACCAGGAGCTGGCCACAAACGCAGGGCTTCGTTAATAACCGCATCAAGATATTTCATACTATTGATATCTTCATAATTTGGATGACCACTACATTTTTGTTAAATAAAATTAAAAAATAGTCAAGTGACTGCTAACTTTAATGTAATATTATACAAACTTTTCAAAAATTCATAAAAAATTTTTATTAATTCTCATGTAACTTTTTTATTTTCAATTTGTTTATTTTTTCAAATTCTCTTATAATAAAATATATATCAAATGATTTTGGGTGAAATTAAGAAGAGAAATATAAAAAAAGCATATTTTTTGCATATGTCAAAGGTAAAAATTTTTATATAAAAAAAATTTTTTTTTTATTTCTGCTTGGAAATTCAAAAATTTGCTGTGATTAAATTTGCTCTTTTTGGCATAATTAACTAAAAGTTGTTTTGTTCCTTAAGGAAATCCTTTCGCTCCAGTTGAGTCAAAACAATTGTAGTAGTCAATATACGATAAATTAAAATAAAAATTCCTAAAATTAAATAATAAATAGTATATGAGGCATTAATCGTTGAAACTTTGAAAAAAAAAAAAAAAAAAAATAGTTAAATACAAAAATTAATTTGACTCTTTCAAAACAGCTGCAAGTAATCTGTCCGTGATTTGGCAACGCTGTACTTCGATTGTTTACATTTTCATTTGCACAATATAACCTTAACCACGTTTAAATTTTT